TCGCGACAATATAACCCGGAACCTTAAAACTAACCTTAAACACTAACTTAACACTAATAACAGAAAAAGGGATAGAATTAAGAAGACAGAAAAAATGATAGATAAGATAGAAATAGAGATATCTGGGGTTTTGTCCCTTTTTTCGGCTTGTTTCTTTATGCATACTGTTGGGTGGGATAACACACGCCCTTCTCTTATAACTGGCCAGTTCTCTTCTTCAATAATTAGGATTTTTTCTTCCACAGTCGTCAATACGACCTTAAAACACGATCTTTTTTCTGAACTATCCGGTCATTGAAAATACGACTCCCAGTATTCTCACCTCGTCCGTACACTCTGCTGTCCAGTTTACGAATGATCTGCTACGTCACTTCTTTTTTTTCTCCGGCTTCTGTTTACACCTTTGCTCCTCAAAGTTCTAGGAACTGCTTATCCCAGCCAAGGGACAGAGAATAGATAAGAAAGTTTTAGAAGAAAATAGAACAATAGAACAAAGGGTAGAAAGAAGAAACGAAACTAAACTAAAATTAATATTTACAAAAATATAGCGTACCGCCACAATAGTTTAGTGCAGTGTTTCCCAACCTTTTTTTGCTATGCCCCACCTAAGCCTTTCTAAAATTCTAGTCTCCCTAACATATACAGCGGCTATACTGTTAACTTAAACTCTGGACAAGTACAAGTCCATTTTCGAATTGCCCTCCTTAGCAATCCAATTGCTCCCTGTGGGGCGTGGGCCCCACGTTGGGAAACACTGGTTTGTGGCTAGTGTGACACGGGATAGCGTAGATTACGTTTGTGTTTTTGGAGAGTGTTGAGTTAAATTAAAATAAAAACAATGTCGACAAAAAAATTTAGTAGTGTAATATGGAAATATTTTACGATAGTAAATGACGAATGTGCTATTGCTACCTATCTTTAAAATTTCATATAAGTAATGAAATTCATTAAGATAAAAGATCCGTTAAAGATCCGCTAAAAAGTAACGAATACAGATACGGATCTTTTTTTTCCCTCAGATATCTGCGAATACGGATACCCAGCACATCACTAATATATACATACTTTGGATTTAAAAAATACATCCACAGTAAATATTGTTGAAAATGATGAGTGCACTTCTTTAAGATATTTAGTTCAGATATTAAACTTCTTTCTATGAGAAATGTTATGAAAAGGGATGTAAGAAACTATAGTAAGAAATAGCCGACTGAAGATGAGTGCTAAAGGAACTCAGAATGTACATCATCATCAGAAAAATTAAATAAAGATGTTGCATCAGTGCATGCACTGGTTCTGTCTTCTTTAAAAGAATAAATAAAGACTACTAACTGTGCAGTTATCTAAATTTAAAATTAAAATATGTACTTAAATCTGTCCTTTCCTAGCAAATTTCTAAGCAGAAATAATTAGTTAGAAATAATACTAGTGCTAAAACATCTTATTAAAATATCTTAACATTGATAAAACACTAATAATCACAAGTAATAATCACCATTAATTAAAGTCTTGCTTATAATCTTTTTCAAAATTCTTTGATATATATTTATTGTATTATTCAGCAGATTATTTTTCCACTTTCAACACGTTTCAACATTTTTAAATGAAAGTGGAAAGAATCTGCTAAATTTTCAATTCTAAACAAATATCTGATTTCCTTTTTATTAAAAAAAAAACGCTGACTGCTATTATTTCATTGTAGCACTTAATCAGTCATCCATTCAGATATAACTTTCTGATATAATATACACCTTTATCAAAAGGATAAGGATATTCAAACTCTAATTTCAATTGCAATTCTTTACATATTTTTTATCGATCAACTTTACATGAAAGCAACACCATGCTTATGTATACAACTATAATAATTATAAATGCAAATTATAATGCACTTAGAAATTTCACAAGATATTTCTAAATATTTTTTCTATGACTGTTTTTAGAAACATTTTATATTTCACTCATTATAAGCTGTGATATAAAAAGTCTTCCAAATGTTAAACCACTCTTTTATTAGTGTGTATTTCAATCTTCCTTACACAATATATTTATGACAGAAGAATTTAAAAAACAATCTAAATTCATTAATTTATTTAATTTAATTTAAAATATGCTTCGATCCTCTGAGACTTGACATTGTTTTTTATAACAAAATTTACACTTAGTTTGCAAAACTTTTATTCCAGCTTTTTGCATGTTTTTTTAAGCACAACAAAACTAAAATATTATACAATTCCATTATTTAAAATAATCAAAACAAAAAATTTTTTTTAAATTGATATGTTCACCCTTTACTAACCTTTAACATGCAGTCTGCATGTTAACCTGTCGGCACGCGCGTAGTGCCGATTAGGCACCAATCGATTTTTAATTAGTTCGTGTAAAAATCCTAATTGTGTGAAAAATCTGAAAAAATTATTACCTGTCTAATTTTTCTTCAATTTTACGATGCGCAATTCAGTTTTTGCTTAAAGCGTCTCATTATTTTTATTTAATTATTGGTGCCGAATCGGCACTATGGCGCGCGTGATCTCGGATTTCAATTTTCAAATTTCCCGCCAGTCGCTGTTACTAAAAATAGCTGCAGCTACGGCGCGCGCTTCTTCGCTTATAATCGCGTTATTATAAAGCGAATAACTTCTAAAAAACTGAAATTTGACCGAAAATAATTTAATTTCTTTCATTGGTATTTTTTAATCATTTTATAAAGTTTTATGACACCATCACATTTCCCTGAGTGGAAGTAACCAATTTGTTAACCATTTGACCCTCGGCTGACAGAGAAGGAAGTTTTTGAAAACAAAGTAATAGAGCGTTTAGCAGTTTGTTGTTTTTCACAGTGGAAGACTAGTAAGTTTATATAATAGACTCTAGTAAGACTTATTAGAGTCTATTATTTTCCAGAGAATAAATAATAGAGTTGAAAAATAGCACAATTCCGTGAAATTTAACAAATCTGATGTCAATAAAGGAAAGTTGAAGTTATTTATAGTGAGTTGATATTTTATAAGTTTAGTTTTTGCATTTATAAATCAAATTTTAAAAAATATAAATTTTTTATTTAAATAAATTTAAATAAAAAAATAGAATTTTTATTATTTAAATATAAATTCTATATTTTAACAAGTATTTTATACTGTTAGATAGTAGAGAAATCGAGTATTTAAGCATTTACTGTATATCAGTAAAAATAAAAAAATTGCGTTAATTTGGTTTATATATTTTGCCGTTACATTGCGCATGTAAGCTTTAAACTACAGTCAGAAATATATATTATTTTTATATGAATTTATTAATTATAATAAACATACATTATGTCTAAAATTTAATTAAAATAGCACTCTCTAATTAACATCTTAAATGAAGAAGTAATTAAATCGGGTCCCGCCGCCATCTTAAATAACGCGCGACGGTAAATAATCGATTTTGAGCGCGTCGCGTTGAATCAAATTAAATAATTTATAAAAATTAAAATAATAAGTATGTTTACAAAATAATTGACTATATCTATTCGCAATAGTACTGTAAAACACATCGTACTTATAGTTTAGCATTTCTGATAACAATTAATTAATTTTTGAATTTTTTTATATTTTATATATAAAATGCGAATAAAAAAACATAAATGCGTAAAACTTAATTTAAAAAATATCTGCAACTTCAGAAAACACATATATATTATAATCTATCAAAAAAAGTTAGTTAATAATAATTAAAATCGAGAAAAAAAATAAAACTTTCGAGGTAAAATAATTTCTGTGGTAAAAAGTGAGGTAAGCGATCACGTGACGCCCGTCTCCCCATCGTCTATAACCAAAACGGCCGAGGGTGAAATAAAAGCGAAAACATCAGTAGAAGTAAAAACAAACATCGGCGCGTATCTAGGACTATATATTTGAACGGGAGCGAAGATGAAACACGACACTTTGTAATTTATGATAATTACCTTCTAATATTAAAAAATTAAAATCATCAAAAAATTATAACAAAATTAAAATTTTTTGACTAAACTCGACTACAAACATATCTTAGAACTGGATTAAAGTAAAAGTACCCGTTTTTCGACGCTAAATTTTTATTAATTAATTTTTTTAATTGGTGCCTATTTGACCGAGCGCGCGTAATTTAAATTTGACGGAGCACGCACGTGCCGACGGGTTAAAGGTTAGTAAAAGATGGTTATTTTTAAGTAAGTGCAGTTTGAGAAGAATTGATATGTTCAAGTATATTTTAAAACAATGAAATACATAACTATTAGGAATAATGATGATTTATGCAATGAATTATTAAACACTAATAAGCAATTACTTACTGTAACATTGCCACAATGTCAGGCTGCAATTTTAATCATATTTTAATTAAAAATAAGCTCTCCATATCTGGTCTCAATTTTCATCTATCTAACTCTGTTTTTGAGATTGACAAAGGTGGAAATGTGTAAGTCTGCAATTTGAAAATTACAGCCTGATAAAACGTATGATTAAATAAAATAACAAATTAAAACGTGGCCGACATAATTAAACATTTAATAAAATGTAGAATACGGAGCATTCATAAAGGATAAAGGTTTTATCCTTTATGAATGCTCCATATTCTATGTTTTATTAAAGTATGATTAAATATTTATATAATAAGTTGTAAAGCAGTATACCTAAATAATTGCCTTTAATGAATTATTGCATTAATATTATAGTTATCACAGTCTCTCAGTCATTTTATGATTCAATCCAATTAATAATGGCAGATATTGCAGGAAAGATACACTATTCTATGAAGATCTTAAATTAAACTTCTTTCAATCTTCCTTACAAATATATTTATGAAAGAATAATTCACAACGCCAGGTTGCAATTTTTAATCATACTTTTTAAATTTAATTTAAAATATATACTCTCCACCTCAAATTAGTAATGTCTTGCTTCTGTACATCATACTTTTCATGTTAGCAATAGAATCATGCCAGTCTTCTATTAACTCCTTTTGGGGAAAAGTTTTGAATTGAAATAATATGACTTCTGGTTTGCATCAGTAATTCATATATTGTTAATCGGGGCCTCCTGTCTGTAAGATTATCATATCTAGTCTCGTCTCTCATCTATCCAACTCCATTCTTGAGATTAAGGAAAGACAAATGGACAGACAGACAACAGTGGGAATTTATAAATCTAAAATTTTTTCAAATTGCAGCCAACAAATGCATAATTGTTGCTTCTTGACAATGCGCACTCTTATTTCACAAGGGGACCAACTTCCAGCACAATTAGAGACTGAAACTTCCACTTTGGTTACTGAGATGCAACCTGTGCATGTACAAGGTCTGTTCAAAAAGTATCGGACCTTTAGTCGGCAAAAATAAATTTATTGACTTTGAGGTACAAAACCCTAATCCCCTTCAAAGTAGTCTCCTTGGTAATGTATACACTTCTCCCAGCGTTCCTGCCATTGCTGGAAACACTGCTGGAACGCATCTTTTGGAATGGTTATCAGCCGGTCCGTCGCATTTCGCACGATGTCTTCTCTCGACTAAATTTGGGTTCCTTTTAGCGGCATTTTCAGCTTGGGAAATAGCCAAAG